TGGTCCTTCTCCGGGTCGCGGTCTCTTCACAGATGTTTTAGTTCTTGGCATTTTTCTTTCTATTTGAAGCACAATAGTCGAAAACAATCAGCTCTAACAAGTATCCAGACACCGCAGACAAACATCTAGACATATGAGAGATAATATCCTGACCTAAAAGAGCTAATATCGGCAAACTAAAATCCAAAGAGACTAGACATAATTTAACCAATATCTCTAGCTCATAAAACTAATATCAGTGAGATAATATCCATACATGGCATAGTAATATCCAAACCTAGCATATAAATATCCATGCATCACATAACTAATATCTGGACAATCAACCACCAAACAATATCCAGATTAAATAAAATAGTATCCCGGGTCGGCTTAATAATATCACAGGAAAACAAATTACCAAATTAACGACCAAAACCCAGAACCCCAGAACAATATCGACATTCAACAAACTGGTATCGCATGCATGATAAATAATATCCCAGGTCAACAAAATACCAAACTAACGAGCAAAACTTAGAACCCCCCAAACAATACCGATATTCAACAAACTGGTATCCCAGACATGCTAAGTAATATCTCAGGTCAACAAACTACCAAATTAACAAGCAAAACTCAGAACTCCCAAACAATATCCACATCATCAATAATTAGCATCCCAGGTCTGCGAATAATCATATACCAGCAATCTAACAAATTTCCACCAAAACCCAGACCCCCAACTCGAATCCCAGGGCACACAACTCGGACCCAAAGCCACCAACTCGAATCCCTGGGCAAATAAATCAAATCCCAGATACCCCGACACTAATCCCAGATCCCCGAAAACAAAACCAGATCTCCTAGATTGAAGTAATATCAACAACAAAACCCATGAAGTCCATCCAAAAACCGAAACAAAAGAGAGAACCCCCCAAATCAAATCAAGGAAGGAGAAAACACATACCTCAGCGGCGTCAATTGTCTTCATTTTCTTCGTTCAGCGACCGCTACTATAGTTGAATCCACCTTCACTGTCGCGTTGCCGTCAAAACCATCATCTTCGTTGCGGTGAAAGCCGCCGTTGTTGTTGCCTTGAAAGCCGTCACGGAAGAGGTTTTGTGGTGGTGAGAGGGTTTTGTTATCGGGAGAGAAAGGGAAAAGGAAGGATTTTTTTATTTTTAGAGAGAGGAAAGAGACCGACCAAATGATGGGGAGAGAAGTAAAAAGTGGGTTTATTTGAAAAAGTGGGTAGAATTTGAATTGTGGGACCCACTCTTTTTGGAAGGTGAGGATTGGCTTCAATCAGCCGATCGGGTGAGCTGTCTACACCTCCTCACATGCCGACGCCACTGATCTCTCGACGTCGGATCGCGGCTTGCCTGAGATGGACAACCATCCTACTCTATGAATATCTACTAACAACTAACCTTGTTATCATTATTAACGAGGAATTTTACAATGCTATATAGCATTGGTGTTATAGGTTTTTGCCTTTATAGTACAACTTGAAGTTGTACGTTTAACGTTATGGTACAACTTTAGATTGTACCTATACTCTTTTGTATAAATTCTTTTATGGTACAATTTGAACTTGTATCTTTATTTGATGGTACAACTTTAAGTTGAAAAGTTATATTATAACATAAGGGTACAAATTTTTTTATCGTACAAATTGAAATTGTACATTTAACATTATGGTACAACTTTAAGTTGTAAATTAAAACACCAATTCTTTGTAGCACAGTACTGATTAGCATATTGCCATTTTTTTGTACCCCGACCGATCAAAGTATAGCCAGTACAGGAGCGTGCTGCTCGGAATATCAAAAGTATGCATCCCTATAGGCAGGGAATGCCCAAGAGAGGCGAGATAGTCAGCAACATAGTTCGCCTCCCGATAAACATGCTCTAATCTCACTTGCCACTTTCTCTTAATCCAAAGCCTGATCTCGCAATACTCCTAAAGTGTGGATGTGATGGAGTTGCCGACTCTATCAAGGTCAGCGCTGTAGTGGAGTCTGTCTGCAGAACAACCTTCCTAGCTCCTTCTTCCCAGGCAAGCTTTAACCCATGCACAATTCTAGCCAACTCTGCTCTAGTGATTCAACCCCCTCCAAGGTTCGCCGAGAAAGCTCTAATGAAATGGCCATCGTCTCCCCTCACGATGCCGCCACAAGTTGTGCTCTCCTGTAAGTGTATCACTGATCCATCGGTATTGACACACACCCAGTCTTGCTGGGGTTGCTGCCAGCAAATGATTCACCGCGCGCGGAGTCCCTATCTCTAAATATGCGACTTTCTTTCTCGAAAGTAGACTGGATCTGCTACTTGAGTTGTTTGGCTTCGAACTGAATTTGTGCATGGGTTTTCAGCTTCCCTTCGAACAAGTGACTATTCTGGTTCTTCCACAGCAGCCAACACGTACCTGCAAACAAAGCAGAGTCAACGGTGTTGTTGCGCCCTGATAAGTAGTGAAGTGACCATCTTTGGATATTCGGCTCGAAGAAGTGATCATCGGGTTCATCCTCTAGCAAATCCGCCCATGTCGCTCAGGAAAATGGGCAGTCGCGCATCGCATGAAGTGCTGTCTCATTCTCTCCTCCGCATATCTTGCAGCCATCATTGTCTATCAGGTGGCGTCTGCGGCGTTCAGCATTGGTCAGTAGCCAGCTGTGGTTCAACAACCAAAGAAACGTCCTCACCCTTTGCATGTTCTCCGTTCTCCACAGGGCCCTCCAAATTGGGTGTCCGGCCGCTGGACCAGCTCCCCCTTCGGTGAGTTCATACGCTGTTCGCAAGGTGAAATCGCCTTTCTCCGATAGCCTCTAGACCCGCACGTCTTCCTCTTCCTCCGCAGGGACAGGGTGTAGCAGATGAGGCCCCAAAAATTTCAAAGCAATCAAGTATCACCTGCACCTGCTCAATTGTCGCTTCCCCAAAAAATAATCAGGTCGTTCGCAAAAAATAGATGGGAAAGAGCAGGTCCAGCCGCATTCAACTTCACCGGCTTCCAACTCCCACTGTCGACTGATTTCTTGATTAAGTGACTCAGTCGCTCCATACAAAGTGTGAACAAATATGGTGACAGGGGCAGCCTTGACGTAGCCCTCTCGTCGGGGTGAAGGCCTCGCTAAGGCCGCCATTCCACTGTACCTGCATAGTAGCCGAAGTGATGCACGCCATTGTGATGCCCACGAACTTCGTAGGGGCTCTTGCTGCCAGCAAAGTATCCCTCAAGAAATCCCATCCGATCCGATCATATGCTTTAGCCAAATCAATTTTGAGCGTCATCCACCCCTTTCGACCCTTCTTCGCCCGCATCGAGTGCACTACCTCCTGTAGGATGCAAACATTATTAGTAATATGACGCCCAGGTATGAAGCTGGTTTGAGTCTCGTGCACTAGCGTCAGCATTATAGTCTTCAATCTCTCTGCTAGGCATTTAGTTAGTGCTTTATACATTACATTACATACACTGATGGGTCGGAATTGGTCAATGTAAGTAGGCTGGTGCACCTTCAGGATGAGGACTAAAACCATTTCATTAATCTCCTTGATCCTGCTCGGGTCCGCCCAACCATCAGTCGCTAGTTTCCCCCGTGATTCTCTTACAGTTGCCTAACATTTGTGAAAGAAAATCTGACCAAGCCCATCTTTTCCAAGTGCTTTTAGCGCCCCCATTGAGCGAATTGCATGCGCTAACTCCTCACTTGTTAGGGGCTTATTTACCTCTTCCCAACAGCTCGCTTCAATGAGGGGGAATGTTGCCTGAATGTTCTGCAGGTCGTCGCCCTCATCTGTATACAACTTAAAGAAATCCAAAGCCATTTCTTTTAGTTCTCCTTGATCCTCCACCCATTCATCCGCCGTATTTTTTAGCATTAGAATCCTGTTTTGTTTGCAGCGGTTTAAAGTGCACAGGTGAAAGAACTTCTTGTTGCGATCCCCCGAGGAAATCCAATCCAGCTGAGATTTTTGACACAGGTGACCTCTTCTTGCAGGAGCACCATTTCGAGCTCTTCCCGAAACCGAATCACCTCGTCACTATCCACTGCCCCGCGACCTGAACTCTCGAGCCGCTCTAGTCTTCGTAGAAGGTTGTCTTTTTTCCTCTATATATGCCCAAAGACAGTCCGGTTCCAATGAGTAGCATCTATTGCAAAGGCTTCAGCTGATGATCGGAAGTCTTCACCCTATGCCCACGCATTCATCGTCATTTGCTGAAATTCCTCATGCGTTAACCATGCCGCTAAAAAACGAAATGACTTCGGACCCATCGGTTGAGTGGATATCTGAGTGGATACCAGTATCGGGCGGTGATCAGACTTCATCCGGGGTAGGTGGCGGACGTTGGACTCGGGAAATAGGGAAGTCCAGTTCGTATTCACCAGTCCTCTATCCAGGCGCTCCCGAAGTCCCCGACAAAACCATGTGAACGCTGGTCCTGTGAAACCCAAATTAATCAGGCTCGCATCTTGCACACACTCCTGGAACTCCCATATTCTGGCTGCATCAAAGGGCTCTCCTCCGAGCTTCTCCCCCGAGTTAATAATTGAGTTGAAATCTCCAAGTAACAACCACAGGTGCTCCTGATCTTCTGCCAGCTTACGGATTTCCTCCCATAATTCTCTTCTCTGGACAGGAGCTGGGTTGCCATAAATGGCTGAGAGCTGCCATGGCGGGCTGCTAGAATTAGGTACCTGCACCTGCACATGAAGGCATTGTGGGTGATTATTTTGGCTCGTGATAATGAACTCACTTGCATTCCAAATAATTCAAATCCCGCCCAAGAAACCTATGGCATCAACAATCAATTTACTATCGAAACCCATGTCTCGAACAACCTCATCAACTCGGTCCCCGCTAATTCGCGGTTCCACAATAATCACAATACTAGGTTGGTATTTCCTACGATATTCTTTAAAAGGCCGGAGGAAACTACGACTACCCGCCCCCCTGCAATTCCAGGAAAATATATAGATTAACATGATAACAGCGGGTTAAGAGAAGACTCCCTGTTACTGTGCCCCGGAAGGGTTGATCCCGTCCATGTTATTCACTTCGAACTCACCCAAATGTTTATCTATGGGTGGGTGTGCGAGCAATGTGTGCTGTTTAGCGTGGTCATCAGGTGGCCTGCCCATACCCGATAGCTTCGACGGCAACTCACCCATTCCTTTCAGCTCCCCCTGGTTGCTGACTTTGTCAGTTGGGATGGCCGCGGTGCGAAATGACACACCTTTATTCCCGACCACATTTGGCTTATTCAGTTGGCCCCTCTCATTGACGACTTTGGGGATTGGGTCGTGCATCTTCAAGTTTTTCTCCCCTGGTATGACTGTCTAAGGTGCGGTTGGGACTGCCCCCGTTGCCGCCAGTGGCTGCTTCACTTTGCTTTTATCCATTTTCCCAGACTTAGCTGGTAGGTTACTTGCTGGTGCATTAGTTCGCGACTTCGTCTATTGTTGATCACCCGACGTCCCTTGTGCATGCCCCGCCATGCAAACCTCCTCGTCTTCCATCTGTAGCGCTTCGAACCTAGAGCCTGATGGGGTGTTCGCATCCCCCTTTCCTTGTTGAATCCCAGTTGGTTCACGAGATGGGCCACTTTGCTCGCGGCGGGGGTTCCGTGGTTTTGTTTCGCGATCATCCATTCGCCATAGACCATATCCGGTTTGGTCTTCGCCGCTTCTTTTGATGCTTCCATTGTATCCGATTCCATGTTCTCCACCGGTTGGGTACAGCGACAGGTTCCATACGCGTTATATGTCCCACAGTTCAAGCATGTCTTCTCTAACCCCTCATATTGGATGAAGTATTTCTTCCCATGGATACAAAATTGTGATAGGAGTGCCTTAGTCAAATCGACTTGAACGCAGACACGAGCATAGTCGCTGCTAACCCCGGTTCTAGTTGCCTGATCAACTCAAACAGATTTACCGATTATATTGCCTATTTTCATTACAACATCGGGATGGAAATATTGTATTGGTATCTCAAGCAGCCGAGCCCATACAAGGGTGGACGAGATAGCATGGTTGTAGGGATCAAAATCCCTATCCCACATGTGCATCGTGAGGTAGTTCTCGCCCATCATCCAAGGACCCCCCGTAACAGCTCGCTCGTAGTCAATCCCTCTGGTAAATCGCACCAAGTAGTAGCCATTTTTGGCCGACGTAACTTGGATACCTCCAGCTTTGGCCCAGATCATGTTCAGTCATCGCGATATCGCGGTGTAAGAAGTTGAGCGACACAAAACTTTGACCACTAGGGCGGATCGCCATTGGCGACAAAATTGTCTCTCCTCCGCCGCTGTAAACGGACTAGGCGGGCACCGCCGCCATCGACGTTGCTTTTGTTCGTAACCCTAGTGCAATCGCCGAAAAGATCCCTCCCGAGAAATCCAGAGCTGCCCAGTGATCAATAGAACTTAATTTTTCATAGCATATTGCCATTTGCCATCACCTAATCTAGTCTCCTAGTAAAAAAGCCAAAATAATAATAATAATAATTTTTACCAAAAAAATAATATTTATAAAAAAACTCATTTTTTCCCAAGAAATGTCAATAGAGAAAACTATACAATCTACCAAGACCCTTCCCATCCCACCACATCAATGAAGCCACCCAACAAAGTCGAAGGAACATAACTCAAGAGGAGAAAGTAACATGGCTTTCTGCGCCACTCTATGGGCAACCCTGTTAGCAGTCTCGGGAACTTCCCTAAACTCTAAGGAGACAGAGACTGAAGCTAGGAGAAGGAAGCAATCCCGAAGCACCGGACCTATGAGGGAATATGAAGAAACACCTTAACGAAGCTGACGAATCACCACTTCTGAATCTCCTTCGATGATGACACGAGGAAGGGATTTAGATACCAAAAGGGAGATGGCGTCTCTAGCAGCAAGAAGTTCTGCGAGGTAGGGATCAGCAATTCCGTGGTGAAGAGACCCTACTGCCAAAGCCACATACTCGTTTGTACCACGAACCACTAGACCAGACGAGCACCCGGATCACAAATAGCAGCATCAAAGTTGATCTTTAGAAAACCATCAGGAGGAGGGATCCAGGAGGGAAGGCGACAACTTGAGGGCTGGAGAGGAGGAGCAGTCACCGAAGGCAGAGAGGAAGAGACTTCACGAACTTGGAAAAAAACATTGACGAGCTAGAGACTGGGCATGAGGTTGGAAATGCTTAAAGAGAACATGGGTTTGGGGGTGCTCAGAGAGCATAACATGTCGCCACCAGAGACTGAAATTCACAGTCGAGGCCGAGGTAATGAAGTCATTTAGGTCCATAAGCGACCACAGTCTAGTGGCACAGGGGCATATAAAAAACAAGTGTTCAATACTTTCTGGATGATATGATCCAAATCCGAAGATAACCCTCGAACTCGGATTATAAGACTAAAGTACGCAGCTCCAACGATCTTTTCTTGATTTTCTTGATTCTTTGATTTTCTTGACTTTCTTGATTTTCTTGATGCCGCCTTTCTTGAACTCGAAAATACAGATACTTGCGGAATCGATCAAACAAATCCGAACTCGTGAGAAGGGCCAGAAGGTATATGAAACCTTCCAAACAATCTCGAACCCGTGGAAGAGGCCAATCGATATCGTCGATGCTCGCCACAACTAGACGCGTTCTCTAGTTGATAAGAGACCACTCAAACCTCCCGAATCCTCAAAGGAGCGAATAAGCAAAACGTTCACTTGAACTTGTAAACACTTGTATTTGATTGCTGAAACTTGAATGAAAAATACATTGGTTGGACTCCTATTTATAGACCCACGAATCTAAACACAAAACAACTAAGGAAAACCAAATCCTACTTGAAAAAGGAAAACCAAAACCTTAACAAACAAGGAAAACAAAAACCTTAACAAACAAGGAAAAGACTAAGTCAACAACTACCCTTGAATCTAGCCTTCAAATCCGCCCCCCCTTGTGTTCACACTTGAAATTCCTTTCACACCTTGTGTTCACACCATGATCTTTATCCATTGTTGATTCCATTCACACCTTGAGACTCCTTCTCCATGGCCGACCCTCCTTCCCTCCCTTTGAGCCCAATTTCGTGATCCACATAGCTCAATAGTGTGATGGACTTTCCTTCTAGCAAATCCAAGCTTAAGCCCTCCAACTCCTTAGCCAAATAGCTTGCAATTTGATCCCGAAAAGCCTTAGCCCTCGCTCGAGTCATGGGCCCTTCAACTTGAGTGTGTTTGGCTTTGATGACCTCATCAGTCCCTCCCTCTTGAAAAGGATTTGCCCTCAAATCCGAATTATCATCCAGAAATGGTGCAAGATCAGAAACGTTGAAGGTTGCACTTATGCCGTATTCTCCTGGTAGATCAAGCTTGTACGCATTCGTTCCAACCTTCGAAATGATTTGAAAGGGACCTTCACTTCTGGGCAGCAACTTGGATCTCCTTTGATGTGGGAACCTTTCCTTCCTCATATGCACCCACACCCAATCTCCTACTTCAAAATTTCGAGCCTTTCTATGCTTGTTGACGTTCTTCAAGATCTGCTCCGTCCTTCTTTCAATATTTAGCCGAGCCTTCTCATGGAGATTCTTCACATACTCCGCTTTCTTAGCTCCATCCATGTTTACTTGCTCCTTCAAAGGTAAAGGTGTCAAATCCAATGGGGTAAGAAGATTGAACCCATACACAATCTCGAATGGAGAATACTTTGTTGTCGAATGCACGGCTCTATTGTAAGCAAACTCCACGTGAGGTAGGCAGTCCTCCCATGTCTTGATGTTGCTCTTGATGATGGCTCTAAGCATTTGAGATAGAGTACGATTCACCACTTCAGTTTGCCCATCCGTTTGAGGGTGACAAGTAGTCGAAAACAAGAGCTTCGTTCCAAGCTTGCTCCACAACGTCTTCCAAAAATAGCTCAAGAACTTAGCATCTCGATCAGAAACAATGGTGCGTGGCATCCCATGTAGTCGCACCACCTCTTTGAAGAACAGATCCGCCACATTAACCGCATCGTCAGTTTTATGGCATGGAATGAAATGTGCCATCTTTGAGAATCGATCCACCACCACAAAGATAGAATCTCGACCTCTCTTTGTCCTTGGCAGCCCCAATACGAAGTCCATAGATATATCAACCCACGGTAACGAGGGAATGGGTAGTGGAGTGTACAATCCAGACGATTGCACCTTCGATTTAGCTTGCTTGCACTCTACACATCTAGCACATAAGCTCTCCACATCTCTTTTCATATGTGGCCAATAGAAATGCTCTTGTAAGCAACTCAAAGTCTTGGCTACACCAAAGTGTGCCATCAATCCTCCTCCATGAGCTTCTCGTAGTATCAATTCTCGAAGTGAAGTACGTGGTATGCAAAGTTGATTACCACGAAACAAGTAGCCCTCATGTCGATAGTACTTCCCTTCTCCATGCTTCTCACAAAGCTTGTAAATCTCTCGAAAATCAGAATCCTCCTCATAGATGCTCTTGATTTGCTCGAATCCAAGGTATCTTGCATCCATGGTAGTGATCAACGTGTATCTTCGCGATAAATTGAGATCTTTTATTAGTCTGGCTCGAATCCAAGGTATATTGTTTTTCCGCGCATTGTCAAGAGCTAAATTGAGATCTTTTATTAGTCTGGCTGAAATTGAGGTAACCCCTTTGCACCAATCTACTAGGGCATGACGAACCCTGAGCAGTTTATAGAATAGACAGAATTGTAAGACCTAGTTATAGGCATATTCCAGACATAGTCTATTATGAGTTTTGTTTCATGTAGTCGTGCCCATCTTATATCAAAGTGGAGTAGACGTTTGGCTCTAGACATCTCTGGGGATGTCATAAGACACAAGACTCTGTGGTCTGGCCCTTTATCTGAAAGATGATATAGACAGGAGTTTGGCCAATAATACGTCTAGCTCGTGGAAACAAAGGCTCTGTCAATTTTTTGCTCAATCAGGATACCGTTTCTACCCCGATTAGTCCAAGTAAATTTAGGTCCCTGAAATCTTACTTCTAGTAGCCCCATAGTATTGAGAAAGTCCCAAAGGGGTCGGGCTTTGTTCATACGCCATGGGGCCCCTCCTGATTTCTCCATCGGAGACAATGAGCAATTAACATCTCCAATTATTAGGAAAGGATCTGACAATCTTGCACAAAAGCCTCGAAGATACTCTAATTGTGTGCGCCGCTTTGTGATTACATACGAAAGATAGACTCCTATTAGCACAAATCGAGGACAAGCACCGTAGCAAAGTGAGTTATTATTGATGACCGAAATGGCAATAAAAAAAGGGTTGAGCCAATGACTGAGACCGAAGCTCCTCACGGCCAACCGAATACTAGACCCCCCGACAGGACGGAAGGGTTAACAGGGAAGCAATGTGAAAATCCTAATCGAGACATAAAAGACTCAACTTTGTCACTAGGAGACATAGTTTCACATATAGGTGTCAATCGGGCGGGTTCGGGCTGGGTTCAATCGGGTTCGGGTTCAAACGGGTTGCGGGTTAGTCGGGTTGCGGGTTCATCGGGTTCGGGTTCATCGGGTTCGGGTTCAAACGGGTTGCGGGTTAGTCGGGTTGCGGGTTCATCGGGTTTGGGTTCAATCGGGTTGCGGGCAAATCGGGTTGCGGGTTCATCGGGTTTTGGGTCGGGCGGGTTGCGGGCGGGTCGGGTTTCGGGTTGTTCGGGCCAGCGCATCAAGTAACTTAACTCATTACTCATTACCAACTTACACATTTTATTACACTAATTTAAAATATTTTCTCAACCTTTTAACCAATTTATTTCTACCTCGTATATATATACTTTATTTTTTTGAAAAAAACTAGTCAAAATTTTAAATCAATTTGTATGACTTGCAAACTTGTTATGTAATTAATCATAATTGGTAAAGTATTATAGCTAATAGTAATGGTGATATCAATATTTGCAACCAAAAGACACCGTTAATTGTTTATTTGATATTTTAGTATTAATTCGGTAGTAATTGAATTAAAGTATCTCGTTTAGTATAACCATGCAAATCTGGTATTTGGCGTGTGATAATTGGCAAAAGCATAGTGATAAAAGGAGTTATTTCAAAATAACTCATTGCCCAAATAACTTCAGTAAACTGTTGCCAAACGAGTTATTTGTAAAATTGTTCGAATTATCCTAAAAATTGAACCATTAAAGATTAGCTATCAAATTTAGTAAAATTATTGTGACTTCAATCATAACTTACTCAATAGCATATATCCTATACACTTAGCCTTACCCTCAATCAACAATATTAAGTTAGTATATGTTGTTGATTGTATACCCAAAACCATCAATACATTATACACTAACCACATAACCTATACCCTAACCATATGTCCTTGAGTTGTGATTTTGCTAGTATAGTTAATTTAAAAGTGAAATTCATACTTTGATTTTCAAAACATAGATAAAAAGTGATATTTGCTAATTATTATACCCTAACCATATATCCTATATTTTACACCACATACCTTGTACCCTAACCACGTACCATAAACATAAATTAAAAAGGAATCTCCTGCCGTTAAAGACTTCAAATAACTTCAAGTGAACATATGTTAATAAAAAAACTTAGAACCGTCAAAACCATCAATATCTTATACCCTAACCATATACACCCTAAACCATATGTACCTTATACCTTATACCCTAACCATATACTTTATATCCTAAACAACGAACCGTCAAAGATTATTTATCAAGTTTACTATAAATTGTTGTAACTAATGGTTAATTCATTTATTAGCCCATAAACAATTACATACATATATACATATTAGCCTTCAAAGCATATAAGAATAATTTTAACTAGTCATGCGCTCCATATAAAAGTTAAAGATTCATATTTCAAAAGCTAAAATTATGAAAAACCAAAAATTGAAAACACCAAATTTGTTTCCTTCTTTCTTTTCACAAAAATACTAAAATTTCCCTCCTTCTTTCTCCTTCCATACATTAGAAAAACTCAATTTTCCTTCCTCTTTCTCTTCCATAAAATTGAAAGAACCAAATTACCCTCTTCTTTCCTTCTACAAAAAGTTGAAAAGTCAAAAGTTTCCCTCCTTATTTCTCTTTCATAATCAAAAGAATCAAACTTTCCCACTATTTTCACTTCCCACATATCAAAACCACCAAAATTCCCACTTGTTTCTTTTCTAAAAAAATTCAAAGAACCAAATTTCCCTCTTCTTTCTCTTCCCAAAAACTTGAATACACCAAAATTTCCCTCTTCTTTTAAAAACATCAAATTACCAAATACATTAATTTACTTTATTTATATTTAATTGATAATTTTATTGAATAGTTAAATTAACCAAAATTTTAATTTATATATTATATTAATATTGTCATGATCTCAAGTGACCTTCATGTTTCAATTTTGGTAATTTTCTTAACATACGTAATATCAAGTGAGTTTCATATTTTTTAAATTTCTTTTACGAAATGAAAAAATAATTTTACTTAAGTTTAGAATGAAAAATTTTATTTTGAAAAACTATGTATTGTATATTTTTATAATTATTCAAGTGGATTAGATGAAATTCGGGTTGAGTCGGTCGGGTTACGGGTTAGTCGGGTTTGGGTCAATCGGGTTCGGGTTAATCGGGTTGCGGGTCAGTCGGGTTGCGGGTCAATCGGGTTCGGGTTAATCGGGTTGCGGGTTAGTCGGGTTGCGGATTAGTTGGGTTGCGGGTCAATCGGGTTCCGGGTCGGGCGGGTTACGGGTTGTTGACTTTTAGTCAATTCGGGTTGCGGTCGGGTTGATCGGGCGGGTTAATCGGGTCGGGCTATGTTTTGACACCTATCACAACGGGATAAAAACGATTTAGACAAATTTCGGTGAGCTTTTAGCGTTTGGAATGTCAAGGTACTCCCCACCCTTGACAATTCCACGCGTAGACATTCATTTAGGATGTTGGGGCCAATTGGGGCTGGCTACCTCTACCCTTTTTCCTTTGTTCTTGTCCTTCTCGCCTGGACTCTTTGGAAGAGAATTTACCACTCCTTCTTCTGGTTCCTGGATACAGACTCCGGTATTTCTTCGAACATAGACTCTTGGGGACTCTGATGATTCTATCAATATCACTTTCCCCTTTGACTTCCCATCTGCAACACACCCTAGCGGGGAGCAAGAAATGGCTATATTTGTAGATTGATCCATTCCTCCATTATTAAAGAAATCCATCCCTTCTCCTTGCAAGCCAAATAAGTGATTATCTTCTAAATCGTCAAATAAAAATCCAGGATCTTCACTACAATATAAGTTACCTAACCCATATGACGGTGATGGTACTTGAAATTGGAGAGGAATGGGCTCTAACAGCAATGGTTGTGTGGGCAGGGCCTTTTCTTTATTCGTGGACTCGGGCCCAGCTTGGTATGGTTTGCTGCATCCGGCCTCCTTTATTGGCTGGGCCAGCAGCTTTCTAGGCACAGGGTTATGATGAGGCCCATCCGAGTTCATTAGTCGGCCTGCCTCCCTATTATCAGCCCGCCTCTCTCGTCGACCCGGTCGCTGTTTTCCCTGTCTTCCTCCGGCAGGGTTTTCTCCGCCGTTCCGGGAAGGAGCTTCAAGCAGCAGCGTGTTGGATCGTGATTGCGGCAAGGGACGAGCTCCGTGACGCCATACGTTGCCACCCCAGTTTCGTCCACCTTTGCGCGCAGTCATCCCTCCTCTCGAGTCTCGATCCTTGTCCTCCTCCGTACCGGAGGAAATCAGAAACCTCTAATCCAACCCATCGGAAGTTAACACAAAATTTCTTTTCCAGAGACTCAGAGATGGATACTCCAGGAGAGTCGCTGCCCTCGGTATGTTCCTTGAACGCGCGCTCTCTTTCTCTCTCTCTCTCTCGATCGACCTTGTTAATATGGAATTCCATTCGACATGGTTTCTTTCTGATTTTAGGGTATAAACTGAGGTAGTTTAAGGTATTTATGGCTGATTAGGGAAGAGTCCTCCCCTTCCCTTCGCATTTTTGAGATTACCAACGGTTGGCTAGGGTTACGACCTAATGACATCTTTTGTTTCTTCCTGATTTCTCAAGGTTAAGATAGCTAGATCTGCTCGCAAATCATCCATGGTGTTGAGACGTAGACAACTCCGCCTCCGACGCCGCTTCCAAAAGGTCTCTCTCTTTCTCTCTTCGCCTGTCCTTGCTTGTATGCAGATATTTTCCACCCACTTCTCTTGTAAATCATATGATGTCGATCCTATTTGCACCCAATAAACTGTGTTTCAACATTCCCTGCAAGGGGGTTCAAGACGATTGAAGTTATTTCGAGTGATTTTAGGGTGTGGATCGTGGGTTCCAGACTTCTATGGCAATTGAAATAGTTTTTCTGATTTTAGGAATTAGAGTGCGGTTATCTATAATAACTGTGCTTGATGAAAAAAAGTCATTCCCTTTGTTTGCCAATAACTCAGGTTGCAATGTACAGTTCGATGGTTTGTCATTAAGAACACTATCTAAGAGTTTTGCCAGCAGTCACGTATAATATTAGATTTTGTGTTTCCCACTACAATCTGTTGCAACTATCTTTCACTGGTTTAGGAGTCTTCTGATAATTAGGAGAAACTTCTTCCACCCTTCTCCTTTTTAAGTGCACGTTAGGAAACCTCGTTTTGTTTACAAGTACAAAGTACAAAGAGGACTTGTAGATTATTTTTAGACGGTGCCTCCTTCACCCTATCTATTAAAACCCCAAGTTTTTCCTTCTTTTTCTTCTTCTAAATTCTTGTAGCCTATTAAATCAAATGATTTTACAGCAACCTCAATTGAGGAACTCATGAACTCTTTACTTTGTTCCTGCAATACTCAGCTATCATTAGAGTCAAGAAAAGCTGAAGATCCGACCGATGGTAACACTCTGTCTTTCTATTTCATTCTCTAATACATATGGTAATATCTTCAGTATCTGCCCTTATTAGTTTTCACCTTACTTTTTTGCAGCTCTGCAGCAAGCTGATGTCGCTGGCGCATCTGGTATAGGATTGGCAGGTAGGCAGGAAAACAAGAAGAAGAAAAAGTTAAAGAAACGGATCAAGAAGGAGGAAGAGTTGACTCTTGCTGAAATAGCCGAGGAATATCATGATGGGAATGAATGTAGGAGGATAGGTGAAGCGATGCGCCAATGGGCCGAGGGTAAAAAAAAAAATACTTAGTTGTACTTATTATTTGTCTTAGGTTACCTTTTAGTTAAGACCTTGACATTAGTATTACTCTTTTTTTTCTTATTATGCGCATAAATGATTTCTTCCTTTTGCAGAATATGAGTTTCAACGTGCTCAATCGCGACGGCGGCAGATTGTGTATGAGGTAGGCGAATTCTTCACAGCTACCTTTAACATATATATGTACATGTTATGGAACATCCTCTTGTATTTGACTTTCTCGAGTCTCAGCTGTATGGATTGGCTAGAATAATATTACTTCTTTCTGCAAAGATAGAACCATAGGATTCTAGTACGCTAACATGATTTGGTAAGCCTGATTGTCAATAATGCTTATAGACGTTGTCAGGTCATTCTAGGCTTGAGATCGTTTTTTTTGTTTTCTTTATATTTTGGCCAAGTTAGGTCAGTACAGTTGTCTTTATGAATTAGCCGATTAATTATGAAAAACAATAGTGTATTTCCTCTTTACGGTTATGATCTATGAATGTTGCAGGAGGACCCGTTGGCACATTGGCACACAGTGGATGTCAGTCCTCTTCTTGATTCTCCGCCTGTGACGCCATAAACATCTGTGTGCTGGAGTTGTCTGCCTCCACTGCCTTTCCTTCTGCTTTGGACTTGGCCTTCATCGAGCAGGTTCTCAGATTGAAGTTTGCTGGTTCCCCATTAGGTTACTGTGTGCGAACTGAAGCAATGGTGTGTTTGCAGCTTCTATAGATCCTTGATGACTTTTTTTCATATTATCCGTGCCAAGTTCTTCTTTGGCTATTTGTCTTGGTATATTTGATTGTACTCTTGAACGGTTTATAAAAAAATGTCACGCTTGATACTAAAAAAACTTTTCACAAGTCATTGACTTCACACTTAGTTTCATTGATGGTCACTTGTCTAATTCGTTAAGTTCATCCTTGGTGTTGGTGATCATCTTAGGTGGCGATCTTGACGTGTCAATTTAAAAAATGAAATACAAATCAATAAAATTTGTTCGGATAAAAGGGTTTGGATTTGGTATTTGTGATTTGGACTTCTAAATGTTATATCATTTGTTTGGATATTAATTACATTTGGTATTTGGATTTGTGTCAAATTCATGGGGTGATTTTCAAATTCATGTCTATTGTATTTCTTGTCAACTTCGAGTATATTTCAACAACTAGTGATTTGAAGTTCCTCCTAACAAAAATTTGACCTATTTGTAAAAAATTTAAAGTTTTGTAGGGAGAAGGTGCGAAGTTGCTCGCATTTTACTCATTACGCGAAATCCTATTATTTTAGAACGAGTTGAAGGGGTAGGGATTGTTGGCGGCTTGGCGCGGAGGAAGGTACTATAGTGTGAGGAAAAAATATAAAGGTATCAAAACGTAATTTTACCACTAAAATTTCAGGGCCTTTTTGTAAAATTTTAAAAGTTTAGGCACTAATTTTTAAGAAAAATAAATTTGTACTGAGTGACCAAAAATTCAAAATTAAAATAAAAAATTATAAAATCTGAAATACAAACAAATTACAAATGAGTATCCAAATAACGAATTTGAATTACATGCATTTTAAATGCTAGTATTTCAAATACATCTATCCAAACGAAACGCATCCTTAAATCTTTCCATAGAATTTCCTATACATGATCTTTCAACCTGATCTTCCATTTTTACGAGTTCTCAATCACTTGGTTCATATTTTTGGGAGAAGGTCACTAGGCAGTAATGATGCATTGATTTCCCTTTTGCTTCATGTTCCAGCTTTCGTCAGAGGAGCTCTGTGTGTGTGGCTCTGTAAGCTTTATTGCGATCCTACTAACACAGAGGGGAGTAGACCTCTTGGGGTTTGATGGGAAGCTAAATTAGAAAAACAAGCTAGAATTCTGAAATCGCTTAGAATCAATCAGTGATACGGTAGGTCAGTAGCTAGACTGCTTTGAAATCTTGATTTGTTTTGTTTCCATTTCAGCAGGTGATGCATGGCTACTGAACCGAGTCAGATTTAATATGATACGTTTCAGTTGAATGTGAGTTAGTAGATCCGTTGTTTCATTAGGTTAACTGGACATTCTTTACTTTTATAGTATTCACTCGGTTGTCGTACAAGTTCACTTACAATATTGATAGTTACTAGATAGATAGGTGGTGGCTGAGCTCCGCAACGGCCTGAAGTTGGTTTTATTATCTTTGGTGGTGGCGGTCAACATCCAATTTAAAATTTTTGGTTATTAAATGATATTAACCTAAATCCAAGTAGACCCATTGACTATGGGTAGGGTATGAGTGACGTATATATGAGTTTGGAAATTTGTATATGAGTTTGGATACGGTATGAATATTTAAATTCATAATCTAAATAAGTATGTGTTGGGTACGGATACCCATTTATTGGAGTGTGTTTTAATTACAAATACAAAAATTAGACCTATTTGTAGAACTTCAAAAGTTCGGGTACTAAAATATAATACACAAAAATTTTAGGTACTAAAATGTAATGTTCCATCAATATTTTGAGGATTTATATGCCAAAAAAATAAATTTAGGTTATAAATATGAAGATCTATTAAGTTTAGGTACCCAATTGTAATTTGCATAGTTGATACTTAATTCCTTTTAGGATGATGTATTTAAGATGATAATAATTTACTTTTTTATAGAAAATAGGAAACTATTTATTTGATAGATGTATAATTGTTGAAAATTCTAATACAGGTGAAAAAGAAAAACTCTAGAGAGAAGCTAAATGAATATAAATTGGAACTCGTTTAAAATTTCGTTTTTCTATAAGGAAACTCGTTTAAAATTTCACGCCTTCAAATCCCATAGTGAAAAATGATGACTTTCTAATAAGTAATAACCATATATATTTGTTTTTAATTGGTACAATTATTAATTCTCTAGACTGTTGGTCATTCGTGCATGGACTCGTTCATAGTTGTGATTAGAATACATAAAAATAATAGTATACTAATTAGGGTTAGACGAATAAGACAAAGAAAGAAATAAAGAAAAAGGTTGTGGAAGGCGAGTGAAAAATGAAACGAAGAGTAAGTAGATGATGGAAAAGTTTTAACCAATTCTTTTAGTTGGTCGTCAATACAACAGTCAACCCTTTTCATCGTAGCAATTTATTGACACTTGCTTATATAGATGTCGCATATTTTGTTACATGTAATTAGTAGAAGTTTGTTTAGTACCCCGTAAATGTACTAAATGAGTTTATAAATTCGCTTTTGCAATATTTTAGAATCGCCTTTCTTTTATCATTTATTTAATATTTCACGTAATGAACAAATATAAATTGGTAGAATCTTCTCCTACAGTTGAGTGATACAGCATATTGTATGTTACAAACAAAATTTGTACTTTTATGTTATGGTGGCTTGGATTCATCGATTGGTTCAAAAGGATTGGTGGATTGGATTCATGGATTCAAGTGAAATCTAAATATTGGACCAATATGTAAATGTAAAAAATTATACGTACAAAAATCTCATAAAATTTAGATACCAAAACATAATTATTCAATGATTTTACATTAAAATTAGATTTGGGGTATCAAAATGTAAAATTTACATTATAGTGACTAAGTTGTAATTTAATTAAATTTGAAGTATCAAAATATAATAATTTAGGCAACAGTAAACCTACTTCACCTTTATATATATCAACAATAGTTGCCCTGTGTGAGTAAACGGGTTACATGGAGGGATTTAATGGTGCATATCAATGTCAGATACATTGAGATCTCACTCTTCTCTGCTTCCTGTTGTATCTAGATTTCCATCTCCTAATGCTTGCTTCTGCGGTTATCTAAGCTTCTTTCAATTGTTGTTCTTCATTCCAGGCTAGCTACTTCTTTCAACGTTTGTCTTTGGTGTTGATTCTGCCGCTTCAAGGTAAAAACACAATTTCTCCTATCGCAGCAACGTAAAACTGTCACATATGTTGCTAAATGGTTCGATTCATGATAAATAGTTGTGTTTCCAGAATCTCCTATCTTGACTACAAATCTTCTACCTGTACCTCAACTGAAGATCTGTGGTTCTGCCTACTCTAGGGGCTGTGAGGCAGCCATAATTTTCATATTATTCTGTTAATGGATTGTTTTGGGTTTCGGGTTGGGTCTACCTTTTGGTGTTATACACAAATATTTAGTATCCACGGCGAGTTTTATGATTCAGAGATGCGGCATATAAAATTGGCAATCTCCGGAAAATATCATTTAATGTGGTTCTGATGGACTATTACTATAGAGGTGAAAAGGGACCGCAATAAAAAACTTCTTCTCAGTAGTTACTGTCTTCAAATATCCAACTAAACCTTTTTGTTTTTGTTAATTGAATACCACCTTTCAGATCAACGCCAATGTTTGTCCCATTGCTTTATCATAATTGCCATTGACAATGCAACATTTCTGTCTCTGAAACCCACTAACAATTACCTTCAGTTTTCTATAGACCATCCCGTCATTTAATTCCCTCATGCTACTCTGACTATTTTTCTACTATTAAGACCATCCACATCCATAAAATACCATTTCTATTCCATATGTGGCCCCTACTGCCACATCAACAGTTTTTTCTATTTCATTACATATCACTTCCATTTCCTCTACATCCATGAAATCCACTATCTATTTCATATGGTGGGTCCAACTTACTTTTTAATACATCTATACATTTATATCTAACTTATATGATTTTACCAATTTAAGATATATCAAATAATTAAAATAATATATTGTAATTATTTAATTATCAATGATGAAATAAATTTACTAATTCATTAAAAAATATATTATAGCTTTATTCATTGATTAAAAAAATAAATTATGGAATTTAAAATGGGTAGACTTTAATAAAAGTTTCATGTATTTTTATTAAAGTCTACCCATTTTAAATTCCATAATTTATTACTTTAATAAAAATACATGAAACTTTTATTAAAGTCACAAGTACAATATTCAAATGACAAATTACAACACAATCACAATTCAAATAAACACACGTAAATAACAAAATTACTATTGCAAATAAACACACTTAATACAAATACGTAGAAATGATGATAGATTAATCATCTTTAATGTAAGAGTTATGAATTTATTAATGTTGATTATCTCAAGTAAATAAACTATAAAAGTATAAAAACACGTTATGGAAGAAACTAAAATGATTGTCCCAACTATTAAAAGAAAATGAAAAATGAAAGTAAGAAAGAAAAGGACAAACGTGGGCCATCTTCCACCCCACTAGCTATTTCATTTGGCATTTCACTAGATGAAATATCCCATGTCTGACATGAGTTCTTCCAACCATGAAATAGCCAATGAAAGATGCCATGTCACTATGAAATAGGGAGAAGACAGGCGATGTGGATGGTCTAAGCATTGATATCCTGATCCATTATCATATTCTAAAGTCAATACTTGCTAGTGTACTGAGAGAAGAATTGGTGGTTGAGTGGACTGAGAAAATCGTCTCTTTTGAGAATTTTTTCAATAATAGCACGTTTAAAAAAAAATTACAAAACTAGCACCCAGTCGAAAAGATTGACATAAATAGCACCCTTTTTAATGGAACGCATCCCTAAGGTGCGTTTTACTTATAAACTGCACCTTAGGGGTGTGTTCCATGCCACGTCAGCACGCGAACCACACTAGGAAGGTGTGGTGTGCCTTCTCTGCGGAACGGTCTTCAAGACCGTTGGATGGAGGAGCGATCGGACCGCGGACCGCGGGCCAGCAGAGCGATCCGCGCCATGGATCGAGGACCGCAGCTGCAAGGCGCGGTCAGCGCCTCGTGACTCGCAAACCGCCTCGGCAAGCAGCGGTTTTGAGTGGGGCAAAATTACCCGACCGCCCCTGGGGGGTGCGGTCTGATGGGTATAAATATCCCCTCCCCCTCTCATTTCTTCACACCACAACCATTCTCCACTCTCTCTAGAATTATCTCTCTAAACCCTCCCGTCCCAAAAGCTTAGGAAATAGTGGTCTGTTGGTTGCGGCTAAGTCCGATCTGCCATCAAAAAACATTTCTTAGGTTTTTTCCTCAAAACCCGCCGAGCCGAGCCGAATCTTTGTCCGAATTTCCCTAAAAAATGAGCGATTGTGTTAAGGAGAGGGAGTTTATGTTGATGAATTTCTAGCGGTACGTACTCATTATTCTGGTTTAATTTTTGTAGTTGTTATAAGCTTTTTAATTAATCTATGTACTAACCTCGTTGTTATTTTCTCGTAGGTGGGGAAGACGTGGATATATACAACCAACGGTATTATCTCGAGCAAGGACCATTGGATCCAACCGACTTATACGACCAACCCAACCATCGGTCAAGGGATGTTTGGAACGATCACCCGGTACATACAATTCTTCACCATTTGTCTTTCTTTTATTTTGCTAATGTATTTAGTGGAATATAAAATAAATTTATGTTGAATTTTTAATCGTGTTGGTTGTTTTCAATAATTTAATCGAATACATAGCGCCACTTACTTCGACTCTTTATAAAGAGATGCACGTCTAAGGAAATGGGGATTTAAGCGATTATCATATCCTCCCATTCCCTAGGAAAATCGGGTATTAAGAGATCCTCGGATCCCCTCTTTTTCTGTCAAAAAGACTGCGTTTCTAAGAAGATGTATACCTCTTCTAAGAGTCTAACGAGTGTTGCTCTGTATTCGATTAAATTATTTAAAACAACCAATACGAATAAATTATTTACCAAATAACCAATACGATTTATTTTTATGTGTACAAAATGAATTTTATTAATTTCAAATATAAGTTTATGTATGTTTCTCTTTAAATTATTATTCATTTAGTATGTTATTTATGTTAATTAATTTAGTATGTTTGTTTTACGATAATATGTATGTATCTCTTTAAATTATTATTCATTTAGAATGCTATTATGTTAATTAATTTAGGATGTTTGTTTTATTATAATATGGCAGTATCTCTTTAAATTATTATTAATTTAGAATGTTATTATGTTAATTATATGAAATTTATTTTTATGATAATAAAATTCTGCTTGAAGTTAAATAATTTAATTTAATTAATTTAGTTATAAGAAAAAAACCATTACTAATATATAATAATTAACGTGTAAATTTTCGCTAGGAGGCACAAACAATACTCCGCTACAGGGGTACGACCATTGTGCTCCCATTCCACCCAGCTATCTTGCCCTTTCTCAAAAGGGCACGGTTGGACCCGATTAGGCATTTTAACGGCATCAAAGTCAATCACCAATTCATCACCGCATTAGTTGAGAGATGGAGAAAGGAGACCCATTGTTTTAACTTTAGAGAAGGAGAGGCCACCATCACGCTAAAGGATGTCGCCATCCTAACCCATCTGCCCATCGACGGCAAACCGGTGTGCGTGAGTGATCATCCAGCCGAGGATTGTGACGGTATGCCCGGTTGGGTGCATTTCATCTACAGTGTTTTGGGAGTGAAAGTACCAGTCAAGGGGAGCGTTGATGCAACCGATCGCTTGCCACCAATGAGGAAACACCAAGTCTCAATTACTTGGTTGACGAAGTATTTTAGAGACCATTACGAGAGTCATCCCCTGACCGAGGAAAGTCCGGAGGATGAGAAGAAAAGATATGCTCGTGCCTATCTCATAGGAATGATTGGAGGAGTGTTCTTCTCCATAAAATCAAGCAATCTCCTTAGCTGTGGATGGCTTAGGATCATCCTCGGTAGTTGGGAGGAGATGGGGGAGTATAGCTGGGCATCCGCTTGCCTAGCTAATATCTACCACAATTTGTGCAATGCGTATCTAAAAGCTGTGAGGGAGGTCGGCGGTGCAATGTTCATCGTCCAATTTTGGGCTTGGGAGCATATGCCATGGATTGCACCGGTCCAACGTCCCGATAGGGATTGGCCAATCGATCATCCCCTAAGAGGTGAAGCTTATGGTACAAGGTAAACTTCTCATACCCCATCATGTTTTTCATACCACATTTTCCCTTGTGTTTTAGCTTATTGTAGTTTCATTATTGTCTTATTAATAAGGTGGCTCCGACACACAACATGCGACAACCTTGCCCAACACAAGTTGGACGAGTATCGGAGGAGGTTTGAGCGACTTTGGGAAGGAGAGGTAACTTCTATACTTCGATCCATTTATATCTTTTTCCATGGACTACATGTATTTTTCCAATTCTTATAAACTTAAGTTACTCATTTCTTTCTTGTAGATCGTCTTCGATCCATACCCGGAGAACATCGTTCATTGGCATCTCCAGCAATTCCCCGGTCATATCAGGCAATGGTGCACCACAGCACGAGGGTCCCTCTAATTTGTTTTGGGACCGTGGAGTGGCATTTGCCGGATCGATGCCTCCGTCAGTATGGTCGGGAGCAGTGCATTCCATTGGAGGTCCTCGATAGTCAAAGGGCATTTCATGGCCGAGATGGTTGGCAAGGTACTCGCGATTGGCCCACGAAGTTGGCGAAATTCATCACGATGTGGGACAACTGAAAAATGCAGGATATTGTCACTCCAACTCAAGTGGGTCGAATGGGGTATCATGACCCATACTTGGATCAATATCGGCAAACATCGGTTCGTTACATGACTCCGGAGGGTGCAGCCAATGGTACATTAGTAAGTATATTCCGTCTAAACAATTAAATTTATTACTTGGTTCCTAAATTTTTTCTAACTTATTTTTTTGTGATTTAGGTTGATGGGATCGAGCGGATCAAGGGAGAGTTGAGTTGGGAAATGAAGATGTGAGCTTCATCAGGAGGATGGCAAACAGTCTGTTTGGTTGTATCAGAGCTCAGGGTCGGGATCATCGTAGATATCCGCCCATGCCCGCACCCCCGCCACCTCCGGTACAAGTTGATGTCCCCGATTCCCCACCACCATACGAGAGAAAGAAGAGCAAGTGGGTTCGGGAAAGGCCCAACGTGCCCGACGTAATGCCATATCAGGCGTGGAAAGTGCCGGCCCCATTGAGTGTGACACATGGTGCCGGCCTCAGTTCCACCCAAACTCCCCGCCCGAGTTCCGCCCAGGATCCCCGCCCGAGTTCCGCCCAGGATCCCCGCCCGAGTTTATCCCAAGAGTTCCGCCCCTCCTACCACAACGATCCCCACCCAAGCTCATACTACGATCCCCGCTTGACCTACCATCAATCCCCTCCGAGTTTCCATCAATCCCCATATGAGCCCACCCCGATCTCATACAACGATCCCCGCCAAACATACTACGATGCCCGCCTGGTCTACCCCCCATCTCCCCGCTAAACATACTACGATTCCCGCCCAGTCTACCCTCCATCTCCCCGCCAAACATCATCGGGTACTTGGCATGATGGTTCCTCCACGACGGCGCACCACGAATTCAACCCATTGACTCGCCCTCATCAGCCGTGGCCTCCTACTCCTCACCGTATGACCCCGGATGTCCCCCTCATCTTCCATGACTTTATAGGCATGGACCTTTCCCTATGCCTCGTTCTTCCTTGCCCAGTGGAGTCGGTTGACGAACCATGCATTCGTTTTCCAAAAAGTCATCTCCACAATGGCAGAGATTGGTAGTGCACGAACGGCCTTGTAGACAGAGTTGATACTCTCACCCGATGTCGTTGTGGCAATACCCCATCTTTTCCATCCATCTTTATGAAATGTCCACATGGATAGGTCGTGTCCATCCAGCCACTATGCCCCTTGAGGACATAACTCGCGCATCTTCTGCATCTTCTCCATGAATTTTTTCTCTTGGTAGGCAACCGCTGAGGAAGACGCATAAAAGTAGTACGT